GCCTGGTCAGAACACTGGATAACTTGGTAGAAAATCATTTGAATACCTGATTGTGATCAGGAAAAGGAATGATGGACGCACAGACACCAAGAATCATTGATGGATGGATTTCACAGTGGGTGTATGTTGAACAGTAVGCCTGGCCTTTTTCTACAAGTTCATCTGGTGTCATGGCAACCATGACAGTCTCTTCTTCATTGACGTCAATGTATTCTACAATGCCACCAGCAACAAGTTCTTGCCAGCTGAAAACATAATTTGTAAATTTATTATTATTAATCAWCCATATTCTYATTCTTTCATTTCATTAATTTGYATTTCTGAAATTGAAAAGGAGAAGACTGGGACGATACTTCAACTKTTTTTTGTTTTCAGCAGACCCCACTCCCGTTTTAAATTTTGGAACAGCCAAGTTAACCATTAAACAATTAAACAACAATTGAAACATTTAACAATTCATCCATTAAGTCAACATCTCTTTCAACCTGATTCCATTTTCCCATCCATTTATCCATCTCCATTCATGCAGACTAAGCTGTCATGAACATTAAATACAATATTCTACTTTCAAGATACAGTGTAGCAGCTCCAGGGGAGGGGGGAAGGGGGAAAACGGAAGGGGAGGGGTGTCGGGGAAGTTTTTTTTTCTTCCCCTGATCCTCCTCTCCTTCCGTTTTCCCTCTTTTCCCCTCACCTAGAGGCGACACGCAGGCTACTTTCAAGAATAAATCCCTCACCTATAATCATTATATTCTCTTTCCTTTAACATATCAATATGATTCTTTTTCAATAGTAACTTCTGATTCTCTACAATCAGCAGAGGACGGCAAATACGACCAGCATCAGAGTAGATTCTTATTTCTCTTTCTCTAAAGTCCCGTACCATGGAGACCTAGAAGAATCAGAACACATTACGTTTCAATGCAGCTACTGAATCTTACAATATCTTACTGAATCGTACAATATCTTACAGAATCTCACTGAATCTTATAGAATCTTACAAAATATTACAGAATCTTACAAAATCTTAGTGAATCTTACAAAATCTTAC